AAAACGGGCCCAATCCCACCGGCCATCCGCTGTAACGTAGACCGAGACCGGGGCCTACAGCAAATTCTCCGGTACTGGGCGGGTAGCAACCGAGATTAACGAGACGGGTACGCCCAGCCAACGATCCCACCAAAATTTAGACCTCCGGCCATCCCCTAGCGACCATCTACAGCCAGTCACTGTCGCCCTCCATACATCACGAATAGCCCGAAGGACCGATGAACCCTTAAGAAACTCGAAATCCTCACCCATGTCTCGGGGCTCAAGCTTGTACTTCTCTTTAATCACCCGACACCACAGCAGGTCAGGCTTCGTTAGGAATTTCCAAGCCAATTTCATAAGCAAAGCTTGATTCATTAATCGTTGCTCGTGCATCCCAAGGCCCCCATCAGCCTTTGACCGGCAAACCTCAGACCATGACACCAGACTCACCTTTCGCGTGGAGGCCGTCCCCCCCCATATAAAATTCCTACATTTCCGCTCCAGTCCATCACAGACACCATGGGGCAGAGAGACGGTCTGCATGGAGAAATAAGGCAGAGAAGCTAACACCGATTGGGCTAGTGTGACCCTGCCAGCCAACGAAAGCGCCGAAGATTTCCAACCCGCAAGCCGGCCTTCAGCCCTTTCAAGCAATCCGATATACGTGGATTTAGTCACCCGACTGTGAAGGAGAGGCATGCCCAAATATTTGCCCAAGTTGTCAACCATCTGATACCCCAACCGTTGGGCCAGAGTTAAGCGAGTCTCTTTCGCCACATTAGGGGAAAAGAAAATCTGGGTCTTTTGCACGCTCACCTTCAGGCCCGACGCCTGGCAAAACAAATTTAAAATAGCTTGTAAGCCACCCGCTTGGGCATGATCCGCTTCCAGGAACAACAATAAGTCGTCAGCAAACATTAGATACGGCACGGCCACTTTGCCCTTCCCCACCGTGAAAGGCTTCCACGCTCCACTTTCCACCGACCTGTCAATCATATGAGCCAAACGCTCCATGCAAAGCACGAATAGGTAGGGCGAGATCGGGTCCCCTTGCCGAACGCCACGGCTAGGTACGAACTCCTCGCTGACACCCCCATCCCACTGCAACTGCATGGTAGCCGATGTGACACAAGCCATCACTGCCCGGACAAATACAGTCGGAAATCCCGCCAGAACCAAAGACTCTTGCACAAACTCCCAGCTAAGATAGTCGTAAGCTTTCTCCAAATCGACCTTCACCGCCATGTAGCCCGTCTTGCCCTTCATACCCCGCATCGAGTGGATAATCTCCTGAGCCAGGACAATGTTATCAGTTATTTGTCTCCCCGGAACAAAACTCGCCTGGGCCGGGCCAATAAGTAGAGGTAAGAGCTTCTTCATCCTCTCCGCCAACACCTTGGTCACCACCTTATAAACCACATTAATCAGGCTAATGGGTCTAAACTGTTTTAAGTTGGTCGGATTGGGCACTTTCGGAATAAGAACCAACAGCGTTTTGTTTAAAGAAGGAGGAATAGGGCAGCCCCCCCAGATTTCTCGTACTTGGGCACACACGGCGGGCCCAACATTGTGCCACTGCTGCTGGAAAAACAAAGCGTGAAGACCATCCAGGCCCGGGGCCTTTAAAGGGGCCATTCTCTGGAGCGCGGCAAGGATCTCGACATCCGAGATATGTCGCCCTACCGCCCGTATCAAACTACCCTCCACCGCAGGGAAAGTATCCTGAATATAGGTCCTGCTTGAGCCCGGCTCCTTAGCCCGATAGATAGCACTAAAAAACGACACCGCCATCTGTCTCATTTCGTCCCTATCCAGTACCGTTCGGCCCTCGGGATCCACCAAAAACATAATTTTATTTTTACATCTCCTGTTTTTCACCAGACGATGATAGTAGGCTGTATTACGATCACCAAAAAGAGTCCAATCCCGCTGCGACTTTTGAAGCCATAGTAACTCCTCCTGGAACAGAATATTCTCCAGTTCACCCTGAAGCTGCTTTTCCAACCGGCGCAAGAAAGGATTCTTCGGGAGCTGATTAGTTCGCTGGATGCCAGCGAGGCGAGCCAAAAGATTCTTTTTTCGACGAAAAATATTGCCAAAATCGGTCCTATTCCACTCCCAAGCCTGCCGTTCAAACTCACCCGCTGCAGTCTCAAATGGCCCCCCTGATGACCAGACCTTTGCTACCAACTCCTCAAATCCCGGATGAGTCAACCAAGCTGCGAGAAAGCGAAATGGCTTAGGGTGTCGTGGCTGCTGCCTTCGGTCCGCCCGAAGAAATAAAGGTGTGTGATCAGACTGAACCCGAGGAAGGTGCCACACCATACTCTCCGGGCACTTATCCATCCAGGCAGCATTACATATCCAACGATCTAATTTCTCTGCCAACCCACCACAGAACCACGTCATCTGGACACCATCAGTGCGCGTCTCCTGGAGGTCATTATTAAAGATCCACTCGGCAAAAGCCGAGCTTGTGTTACAGTTCCTCATCGAGCCACCTTGCTTCTCCGACACTCGAAGAAAGCAATTGAAATCCCCACCAATAACCCACGGGCCAGAAACCGTGGACGCCAAACAATTGAGTGACCCCCACAGTGAACGCCGGATCCTTGGACTCGGACTCGCGTACACAAAGGTCACAAAAGAAGCGTGATCCCCCACACGAACATGAAGGTGAACGTGTTGGCGGCAACATTCCAGCACCTGGACATCCACCGCCGATTGCCATAGTACCCAAATACCACCGGAGAAGCCAGACGCTTCAACCCGAAAAGACCTGTCATACCCACTTCGTTTGATGAATTTATCAGCACGTACACCACTAATCCTTGGTTCAAATAAAGCAAAGACCTCTGGAACATATTGTTGACGTAACGTAAGGAAGGCCCTCCGAAAAGCCTCGGACGCGGCCCCCTGCACATTCCATGAAATAATCTTCATAATAAAAAACGGGAAGGGAAGAAATACGCCAAATCCGGCTCAAACCGAACAAGGAACTTGCGTTCTTTCCTCCTCGTCCATCTCCTCGGCCCGCAACTCAATATCCTCAGTGGACACCTCCTCCATCGGACGACGCACAAGACCGTCGGCCTCATCCACCATAGTTTCATCTCCCGGGTCCAACAAAACCACTCCAGCACGGCCTCGAGGCTCCACTGGCTTATCCGTGACAACGACGACTTGATGGTTATTTTGGTCCAATGTGGATTGCGCAACTGTGACAACTTCAGACTCTGGATGGCGTAGAGTCACCGCACTGGCCTTGGCCAAATGGCCCCCAAACAGCGAACGATCCCCACTATCCCGAGAAGTCTTATCAACCATGTTAGTTTCCGTCCCTCCAGAGACTGCAGAGGTCCCGGAGGATTCCCCGCCGAACAAACAGGGTGCCGATGGAGAAGCAGCCCCCTTACCTGCCTTCTTCTTTCCAGCAACCCGCATTGAACGAAGGGCTCCCCTTGGACACCGTCCCATCCTCAACCCTTCCACCATTGGAGCCAGCCGGAGCCGGGGTCGCCATCTCCACGTTCTCTCGCTGCTTCCCCTCCATCTCCCTCAACACACCAAACCGTGAACCTTCGACCCGAGCGCTGCCCGAACCTCGACCAGAGGTCTGATCACCAGCCCGTTGGCGCGGAGTTGGCCGTCTCGCCGTCTTTGCCATTAACCGCGGCCCAAACTGCCCGCCTTCAGTATCGGCATCGCCGTCCTTCCCGTCGCCGGCACGCTGATGTACTGGGGCCCTCCTCTGGTTCGTCGACCTCGTGTCCTGGCCCC